TAGACGCGCGAGCAATCGGTACACGTTAATCGGTATTAGGTTTTATTTTATACTGTGACTCTTCTACATATTCTTAAAAAGATAAATCTTCTTGGCCATATGACGCCATGTTGCCCTCTTTGTGATAAGTATTAACCTTGCTGTCGCACCTGTTATTGAGTGATTTCAATTAGTTCATCAATACATGTAGTTATATTTAGTTACTCCACGTGGTCACGAGCTCGGTCATTCTTTTGGAATATCGCTGCTGCAACAGGCATATATATTTATTTACTGAATTCGCATACTAATAGCTACACTAGCGCCTTTCTAATTGATTTAGTACAATCACATTACAAACAAAAACGCTTCGAAATGCCAAATAACAAATTTACAACGATTTTGAACATTTTGTTTGTTACTACAGTTCTGCCCGTGGACATCATCGCCACCCAAATACAAAATATATATAACACTATACTCAATGGAAGCGTAAAATACATACAACGTTGTATGGCGCCAGATCTGGTTGTACCAATTTAGCAAATAGAATAAAACAGAGAACGAAATCACAGAATACTAATTAGGTCGCATGCCATGGAGTACGTAGACCCGATATAAAATATATAATATATGCTGACAATGAAAGGAAACAATATCAACAGATGAGGATGCAACAAGTAACCCAATTACATATGCTCATCCGGCATCACTTGTAATTGAGACGGAAATATTGTCTACATCAACCATTGACACGTGACAATAAATCATTACCCTATCAGTCAATCAGATTAACACATTTGTGTGTCGCTGTCATTAAGTATTAACCGCTTGAGCAACCAGGAGAGATATGCCAAAATTTGCGCATGCGCTGACTATCACAATAAAGTCTATCGTGCCGTAGTTTCTTTTTTTAATAGAATCACCAGCAGAATATATCTTACAACAGGGACATTTCCTGTGAACAGATGTAAACATTATACATTTCTTGAACCGAATGGGGATTGTTATTACATAGTACGATTACGTTGTTTTATCACACATAAATGCTATGACACATATAATAAATTATTATATATTATTTCTGTCTTCGCAGATTAGAGAAAACAAAACGGATACTTGATTGTGCTGGACACAATGATGAAGGTTCTTGTTCAGATGATTGCAGTCAGCCTTTGCTGTGAACTGACGTTTACAGCTCGATTATTAAAAGTTGCCAACCCACTCCGAGAAAACTATATAGTGGTGATGAAGGTAAACGAAACTGATGTACTCAGAATATCAGAATCGTATTTAGAAAGAGTATTTGTAGTTCGCCAACATACGAGTTCAATAAATGTTGTAGTGCATGGCTAATTTGTGTTCGCTTATCAACTAATATGATTAAGTTTATATTTACGGCATCATATCGACTTCATATAAATACTAGCATACAAATACATGCATAATGTTGAACCAACATGTATAAAATAACACACAAATGCATATGTAATTGTTGTTTACCCTATACCTAGAAACACCGAATAAAACTCGCAGAGAAACATTATGTCGTCGATTTCGCGTGAAGTTAATTATTCACAAATTCATCATATCGACTTCACCATATTCTAAGTATAAACGAAACAAAAACATACTGATTTTGGCAAATAAATATCATAACGACATTGAGACATGATAGAAAAACATTCACAAACACATCGACTTAAAACAAAGGATAAATGTGTATTGATGAATACATACACATATATACATATATATTGTTTTCATAGTTTCCACATTATAATTGTAATGGATACGAACGCGTTTGAGCAATTTGAACAATAACCATAACACAATTATTGTAAATATTGCATTGCAGGGTAATCGTTTCAATATTATTCTAAATAGTAAAATCAAAAATTATTCCCTTGTAATTAAATTCAAACAATTGTTTCTGGTATTTCAAAGAGAAATACTCCATGTTCTACGCATTACGCCACTCTTTAGACTCGGCACAACTGTACAATATATTGACTCGTATATAAATTCCCAACGTGAAATGGGTTTAGTGTGTGTCTGAAGGTTCTTGCATCCAAAAATAATAAAAACACAGTTTATATTAAGATCACAATTCTTGTTACGCAATGGGCATTAGTGTTATCTACACATTGCTTTTAGTTCTCTGAGTGAAAGGTTCCAAGGAAAGGGCGACAGAAATCTAATTAACAATCGGGGTCACTGATCTGAACCTGTATTCCGTGGAAACAATAACAGCGTAGTGAATTCCCTGTTGCGTTAAATCCTTCTTTGACGACCATTTTGGATTGAAAATGCTTATAATTTAAAAACTAATTTGGATACCCCTTATTTTTCTTTGGAATTTAAAAATCAAAATCACAACAAATAATTCAGCAAAGTGTCAAGACATCACCAAAAATGTGACAGAGTAAGACAACATATTGTATATACAGTCGAGCGTACATTCCCTTTCTCCAAAGCATTCTCGACAGGAAGATAAAAGTAGTGAGGTGCATCATGGGAGTGCATACATATATAGCTTTATTAATAGTATATTGTTAATTTAAGAGCAAACACAAAACAAAGCAATGAAAAAACTTATAAATTAAAACCGAGTGGACAATTAATTATTGAAATGACAAATCGATACCAATCATTCCTGCAAATAAATAATGCTATTATTTTGCACATTTCATGCGTGATTCGTGGTATTTTGTTATTGTTTCAGGGCAAGCACGTTGACGTTGACAGTGTGGAGACCAGACTTGTTTCATCAACCAAGGTTAAAATCAATGGAAAGATCAAAGGTAAAGGAAAAATGAAAGCATTGAGAATTGAGATTCCAGATGATGATCCTGAAAGTCTCGAAAAGGTATGGTATAATTTGGTTATTTTGCTAAAATATGTGTAACGGATATGTTACAGTTACCTCAGCAACTATATTGTCATTGACATACATGTACGTTCTTATTACACTACCAAAAGTAAGAATTCTTTCAACATTTACAGTTTGAAACTGTGAATTAATAAGTAATAGAACCGGTGCTGGTAATACTTTAACGCTTGTGTGAAGATAACGCTAATTATTATACATCTGTCACCGTAACGCCTTAAGTTACAGCGTGCCGTAATTTTGTGGTATTTTACAGGGTATTTTCGTCCTACCATATTAGGAAATTAGAATGATTACGCGCGTAAGCGTCCTCTAATAATAAAAACAAACATGGCTGCCACCAGAGTTTCACCGGACTCAACACAAAGAAGTTCGCATTCCCATGATGTATCCTTGGAAGGAAAAGATGTATAATAATAAGGTTATTGTAATAACCTCATATTATATAAATGACCGTTACCTTATTTCAAACAAATTATTATTCATTTATTTTTTATGATAATCCATTTTAGCTTCTTCAAGATCCAGCAATAGATTATGTAGAAGAAGACGGCGTGGTTACTCCGGATAACTGGGGACTGGATGAAATAGACCTCACCCCTGGTAATGGGATATATGATCCACCAGGTATTAATTATTCATAACTTGGCAAAACTGAAATAATGTTGTAAAATACATGTACATTAGCTGTATCTGTATATCTTATCGGGCTCGTCCTACCATTAGTACCCAAATACTAAGAGGTTATCTCACGACAATCACCATGCCATCGCGTCGTATTTACGAGTGAGTTGGTATGTTGACAAGCCAGAACACCGACCGTAATTAAAACGGTGTGATATACACGGCGTTGTCGCGTAATAACCTCCTTATCATACATGGTTTACGAGCCAATTGTTCTGTGGAACAAATACAGGTTATCTCAGGAGCGGACATATTTCATTATTTCACGCTAGATGCGTGCGTATTGCGGCGACACATAACTGCGCACTCTCGGTCATGGCATTTGGTAAATTAATTTTGTAACGATTTTGAGAAAGTGTTAAAACAAACTGAAACAAACTATAACTTTATACATCAAAGTGCGGTCAGTGCAGTTGATAGAATGTCGGGGTGAAAGTGGATACAGAGTTATAACACTACATACCAAATGCGATGGGGTAGTTTGCGCTGTTAAATTTCCGGCAACATGATTTCTATTAGATTACTCGGTCTACCGTGAAACGCAACTGTCAATTAGTGATCATAAGTAGGTGTAAAAAAAAAAACGCTGAAACACGCTTCACTGAGTTTGCAATATGCTTAATCAGAAAAAATAAATAGTTCATACCGAGTTGACGAGTTGCCGAATTTCATATTTTACTGTATGATCGAAATGACCCCACGTTCCATATACGATAAGAAAGGTCACTAGGTAATACAAATAGCATGACAAATATCTTCAAGTGTCCTGATTAAGAAACGTACCACGAGACAATAATTTTGCAATTACAGTATATCTTGATTCGAGTTTTATGATAAGTGTTTTTGTTAAAGTACCTACTATGAATCCAATGTCGGTTTGTGTTCATTGTAGTCCGTCGCCTAGCGTTTTACGAGGAGAATCACGTGGAAAGTGATGTGTAATTACAAATACATAAATTGCATTTCGATTTGTAATTTTGTATTGTTATTTATGCTTTAAAGTTTGGTATCAATTTTAATCGTGAAATCGTAAAAGTATTTTTAAAATGCAAATAATAATGTTAATTATGAATGCGTAAAATATGAACAAAACAAATAAAAAAACTTGTCATTTACAAAATGCATGGCCGTGCCCCCTCCTCGGTTACTGTAATTGTTTAGTTCTAGTGCAATGGTTTCTTTTAGATCAGTGAGACAATATTTCTTCTTATGAGGAATAAATGTTCAGTGTGGAAGTTTTTAATTGAGTGATGTTTTAACTGTTTGATATATGAGCATGTACCTGCGGAGAGTCTGTTATACTGTTTAACTTTATCCCCAAAAATATGCAAATTTGGAAGTTTATTCGAATGTAATGAATTTTCAACACGTCTTTCATGAGTTGTAAATCAAAAATCGATTAACCTAACTTTGACACATTTGTTTGTAGCGATGTATGTAGTTGTGATGTCGCCCTGACGCGTATTATTTTAGAAGAACCTCGGTCAGATTTATTCATTCCGTGATTAGATTTGTGTTTGTTTTCTTTATTTTTGGTAAATATATATTCTATATTCTACCAGAACGATTGCTGCAATGCTTAAATGATCATACAAGAATGCGAGATCTTTTCGACTGTCTGTAGCTTGTCTGTACATATAAAGCTTGCGTTGGTCTTGTAAGTTTATTATATTGTGTTTGTATTGTCCGCCAGTGTTATACCGCATACATAGAGAATACAAAGCAAAAATTCTCACACCTTCTCAAATAATGATACAAATTGGTCGAAATGTTTTGAGCGAAAGGGGTCAAGTTTGTTTAATAAACTACACAACTGCTATCAGGGGTAAATCTTCTTCTCTAGGGTTCTCCACACGTGTCAGGAGGGAATCTCGTTCGTCTCTATGTCTCGTCCCCTTGAGGTACGGAACCGGGAAAGTCACTTAACTTTACAGTCAAATAAGACGCACACAACAGATTACGTTTCAACTCTCGTCTTAGTCGGACAGTTGAGTACTCTATAAGACACAGCGCCCTGGGGAAAAGTCCCCAAGACTATCGCAAGGATGACCCAAGACTCGCCCAAGATTGGACTGCCTCAAGACTCGCCCCAAGACTCTCCAGGACTGGACTGCGTCTCTCGTGGTGTACTCGCCAAGACCAACTAAAACTCTCTTTATTCATTTTCAAAACCTTAACCAATTACAAAGCAGTAGAAAGACTCTAGGGCGTAACCTTCTATCATAAAGCCAATCACATTAAGTACTGAATACGTCATATCTTTTGATTAATCGTTCACTACATTAATAACTACGAATACTAACTGTCAGAAATAGTAGTCCGAATAGCGACGGTTATCTCGTAATTAGTTCCAAATCACTGAGTCAAGTTCCGTCCAGAACCTCAAATGGCCTAAACGGTGCCAGACATAACACAGCCATTCAGCTAATTAAGTCGATTAACAGATACGCAAAAACAAATTCATCACACTGCACTAACACTAACAATATCGATTCATGTCGTCCTCAGGTGATGGGTCAGGGAAAACGGTATATATCATCGATAGTGGAATATATCCTAAGCACAAAGACTGGGACACGTCGCCTAAATTATTATCAAACCACGTTACGGGCAAGAAGGTTAGTAAAGTAATATTAAAGAAATATACAATCGGGAGGAGTTATACAAACATGCATACATATTGAGGGGGACTGTCACATTTCTAAGATATGTAATAACAATTGTTTATTACGACTGAAATTAACATGGTGTCCTGTACAGAGCACAAAGTAATGTTACCAAAACCATGAATGGCTGGAATTATGTGTAAATCCTGTATGCATTATTGCAAACCTACCAGTGCAAAGTATGTTTCGCTGGTGGGAACAATTCTTTCGTATATACCCGTTTTTGTGTTTTAGAAATTGGGCGACTGTTATGGACATGGCACACATGTAGCAGGGATTGTGGGAAGTAAGACTTACGGTGTAGCGAAAAAGGCCCAGCTTAGTGCTGTAGTGGTATTCGACTGTGACGGCAGCGGTACTTGGGGGAGGGTTATATCTGGTAAGTTTAAATGTACACTGTACGTCTTTGAACATATAGGATTCGTGGATAAGATTGTTTGCTGGAACCATTTATCAGTCTTGGCACAAATACATTATACAACGTCACATGAATCTTACTTTAGATTAAATGTGGCTGACATACAAATATGCATGACTACTCGTACTTGAAAGTGTCTGGTTCTCGTAGATAACTAGGTTTATTTCAATAATCCAACTTTGCAGATTAGTTGTTTTTTCTTGAATATATTCAAGATGGCCGGTTAACGGCACTTCCGCTTTATTTCACTGTGTCTCATTCTGTTTATCCTGCGCCATATAATAACCAATTGAATTCCAAGTTAGTACACATAAGCTGTATCCCAAGATGCAAGTAGACATATGCTTGCTTGATATCTATGCTAACATTTAAATACATATTTGGAAAGGGGAACATTATCAGGTTGAATGGTAAATTTAAAAAAATGTAATTCGTTTGCTTTTACCGCCTACCACGTAACATGTTGCACTGAGATATGCAAGAGTATGTATTAAATATATAATAAATCTTAAAAAGGACTATTATTGTATATTATTGTATATTGGCAGGTTTGAATACAATTGTAAACGAAGGGGTACCTGATTCAATTATCAATCTGTCTCTAGCCGGGTCGTATGCTCAAGCAGTCGTTGATGCCCTTGCTGACGCCAACGATGCCGGTTTTCTCATTGTTACCGCTGCAGGTAACGCTAATGTCGACGGGTGTACCATGCTGCCAGCCAACAGTACTGACGTAAGTTCAACAGTGCCACTTGGGACATTAAGGTAGCGAGACTATTATTTGTGTTGAAAATTACGATTTTCACATTTATTTAATAATTGATGAAATGCACTATAAACTTTCATATGGTAGAGTCAACATAACATAGAATGTCATGTAAGTTGGTTAAAATGTATATTTTCTGAAGGGAAGCAAGGCAGCCTCAGTAGTGTTTTCCAAAATCAACAATACAGGTTTAATCTGTGTGCCTATAAGTTCAAAGATAAACTCAAGAC